CACCCACTCCTCTACCAGGAGTACGTTCCCAGTTTGTACGTTCCCCTGTTGCTATCTTGGTCTTACTTTTTTTCTACAATTTTAGGTCTTTCGCGTGAAAAATCCCCACAGGCGGTAAGTACATATCCCAGTCTCGGTGATCCTTTTTTAAGTACGTCCTTATTGCAGCCAATATCGTCCGGTTCACCCTCTCGCCTGCATTACTTTGTGGCGAGTACGGCTGTACGCATGTGTCGGATTCCGAAGGTGCCTATCATGTCCTTTGAGACGAATTGCTTTCCGTTGTCACCTCTGGGACTCCGAACTTGTAGAATACCTCCTGCACAAGAAATTGTACCACATTTGCCGCGGTGGCCTCTCTCCTCGCTTTCAGGAAGGTAAACTTTGAGAAATGGTCCACGACGACGAAAATCCAGGCCTGTCCCCTTTTCTACCTGGGATACTTCCCCAGGAAATCTATGTAGATCTTCTGGAATGGCCTCTCCGTAACTACTTCCTGATCGATTTCTACCTGGTTACGATAATTCGGTGCTTTGGACTCCTTACAAGTGTCGCAGTTTCGGACATATTCCCGCACTTGTGTCGTCATCGCTGGCCAGTAATAGTGCCTTTTTAACCGATGCAGGGTCTTCTTCATCCCACCGTGTCCAGCTTTGTGGTCTTCATGGGCCTTGGCGACGAGAGTTGCTGTCACAGACGCGGGAATCCATAACTTCCAAATGGAACCTTCCACTTGGTCGTCCATTTGCGCAAAGGCCGTTCGCTTGAATATAAGGTTTCCCTCTACTCGAAGATCTGGTAATAGTTCTCTGTTTTTGCAGATTTCTTCTCGCATCTCCTTATACTCGTCCGCTTCGAATTCCGTTGTCTCGAATCCAAGGATCTCCGTGGGATCTAGAGCTACCTCTTCAATGCAGCGTGAGAGTGTATCCGCCACGATGTTGTCGACTCCTTTTCGGTGTTGGATCTGAAAGTCAAACCTCTGCAGCCGCAAGGACCATCTCGCCAAACGCCCGTTCAAGTCCTTTAGAGACATTAGCCATTTCAGGCTGGCGTGATCAGTGATCACGGCAAACGCCATTAATTCCACGTACGGTCTGAATTTTTCTATCGCTAACACCGCAGCTAGGCACTCCTTCTCCGTTACGGAATAGTTCAACTGGTGCTTATTTAGCTTGGACCAGAAGAATGCCATAGGACGCTCCGCTTTATCGTCATCCAGCTGGAACAGTACAGCTCCCACTCCTTAATTCGAGGCGTCACATTGGATAAAGAAGGGACGTCTGAAATCAGCATGAATCAACACCGGGGCCGTAGTGAGTGCCTTCTTAAGGGATTCTATCGCCGTCTCTGCCTCCCTTGACAATGAAAACTTCCCGCGCGGATGCTTCTTCAGCGCATCTGTTAGTGGCACTGCGATAGACGCGAAATCCTTAATGAAGCGCCTGTACCATCCTGCGGTTTCTAGGAAACTTTATAACTCCTTCACGGAATTTGGGTTGGGAATTCTCTGGATGACCAAAATCCTCTCCGGATCCATCTGCAGCGTGTCGCCTCCGATGATAAACCCTAGGTATTTCAGTGACCTCAAGCAGAATTTCGACTTTTTTAATCCTATTGTTAAATTGGCTCTTTTCAGGCACTGTGCTACCAATCTCAAATAACAGAGATGTGTTTGGAAATCTGGGGCTATCACTAGGAGGTCATCAAGATACACAAATACATTGGATCTGAGGAGAGTCGGGATCACCTTGTCCATGACAAGACACAACTGCTGGGCAGCGTTGCACAGACCGAAAGGCATCATCACAAACTGGTACAGTGGACGCCCAGCCACGGTAAATGCAGTGCATTACCGGCTTTCTGGATACAGTTTGATTTGCCAGAACGCGAATTTGAGGTCGACACTCGAGATATAGTATGTCTGGTAAATTCCTCCCTTCCAGCTGCCGATCGTCAAAGGTCTGGTTTCGGACTTCCATATACCTCCTCATCTTCTCTTCGGCCGGTAAGAACTTTAAATTATTTGTATTTAATATATTATTTTGATTATTATTTTGTAGAATTTTGTTATGATGAGTATTGTTTATCTCCTCGCGGGCTTCGTTCCTGGGCGATGATCTCCCGCCTTCATCACGCCCACCCGAGCGTTTCCCGAACACTTGGGACATGTTGGCGTGAACATCACTGGCTCCCCACAACGGTAACAAAATATTTTGCGCTCCTTCGCCACACAATCCCGGAATCCGTGGTCACATTGGCCACAGTTCCAGCAGCACAGCTTGGGCTTGTTCGTCAGGTGGGTTTCCTCAACCATAACCTCTTCCTCCTCATCCAACAGTTCCAACTCTGGCTCTATCTCCTCCACTCGCTTTCCGGATGACTGAAACTTCGGCGCCGAGCGATAAGCTGACCTCTGCTCCCGCCTGCGAAAGTGATGCTCCATTTCCAAGCACTCTTCTCTCAGCTGCTCCAGATTCCAGATCCCGATTGCGTAGACAATACCGGGCGATCTCATCATCGAGTCCCTTTTTCACGACCTGCATCATTTCGGACTCAGCCATGGGTGTGGTGAGTCGCACCGCCAGTCTACGCATCGCTCTAAAATACTCCTCCACAGACTCTCCAGATTTCTGTCGCCGCTCGTGCAAAGCGCGTAGCCGCTCAAATTCGCCACCTACGGCTCGGAACCGGGACACCAACTCGTCCTTCAAGTCCTCCCATATCTCCGGAGGGCGCTCTCGGATAAATTGCCAATACCATTCGGCTGCCTGGCCTTTGACAAGGTGATGGAAATTATCCAGGACTTCATCCTAGGAACTCGACCCGGAAGACGAAATCTTCCACCGTCATCTTGTTGGGATCTGGGTCGCCGTCGAAGTGGATGTCCCACTTGTCCACCCGTCCCCATCTGGAGCCTCTCCAATCATCTCTCCTTTCCTCTGGCGATGCGAACATCCGACTTGATGGCTCGCGATTCTGCCTTCCTGCGCTTGGAACCGGATCCTCGATGTACATTCTCCGGAACCAGTCTTTGCACAACATCATCCCTGGACACCTTGGGCCTGATGCCAGTATTTGCCCACTTCGTGTACTCCTCTGGACATTGTTGGTAGCCGCCATCCTGTGTATTGCCATCACCTCCGGTCTGGCCTCTTCCTGTTCCCGTATCCTGGATCATCTCCACGTTCTACCGCAGGGGCGTCATCGCTTCTGTTATGGCACCCATTAGTTCCATAAAGCCGCGCCGTATCTCCTCTTGCAGCGTCTTGCTGATGGTGTCTGCCAAGGCTCCTCTTTGCGTCTCCTGAGCTTGCGCGATGGCGACATTTTTGCCGGACACTATTTCTGAGGGCAGTGTAATCGGATTTCCTGGCAAGTTCCAGCTGTCCTCACCGCCCTCGGCACCTCGCAAATCGTCGTTTTGCATCTGTTCGCCGACGGTACCTGGCGGATTAGTCCTGCGAGTCATTTTCGGCTTAGACCGCAAGTTGTAATTACTCATCAACCTATCTCTAACTAAATCTAACGACCTATCCTATGTATTAATTAATCAATATTTTTATTTCTATCAAATTTCACAAACAACCACCTACGCACTACATAGACCACCTACTCACTGTTCTTCTACACTATTCAAAATACAAAAAAAACACTAAAGGGGGAAAGGAACCACAACTACAAGAACTACTCTGCACCTGGCTTTCTACGTCTTTCCTCGTCCACTTTCTAGACTTCTCGCGAGCACTGTCGACATCCCATCTTCTACAGAAGATTAAGAGTCAAGGGCGCTCGCGTTCCTACCTCGCTGCTTCATGTCCACTACCCTTCTGGACGTTCTTCACGGGATATTGTAGCTGCTCCGAGTGCTACGCGTGGCCGACTCAAGTCCCCACGGGCCACTCAGAACAAACATCTCTTCGAGATACTACATTCCCGATCCCATCCAGAGGTAAGTAGGAGAAGCAACACATACAATTGTTTCAAATAGTCCGCACCTCATCACTTTCAAAACCAGCTATCCAAATTGAACAAAGTACCTTTTGGACTACCATTAGAAAACCGAAGGTCATCATTTTCCATTACATAAACCCATGATTTGGTTCAATGATAGTAGTGTTTTTTTGCTTGCAGCTCTTATTTACCATGTTTTATTATTAGTTTTGGTTTTCGGGTTGGGATCTGCCGCTCGCCATAATCCCCTTGGTGGTTTGGTGTAAGTTTGGTTTTAAGTTTGTGGTTTACAGTTGGGCGCCTCCGTATCAATTTGGTTTATGGGGTTTCAGTTTTTGGTTTTCTTTGGTTGGTTGTTAGTTCCATCACGCCAGGCCAGAAAGTACTAGCTCATATGAGCTGGGCCCCTGGCAGCCTAGCATGCCAGTATTTTTCATGTTTTAGGTGGTAATGGTTCTGAGCACTATTTTCTTTTTCATTATTTTACTTTAGTCGTTGTCACTGTGCCAGGCATTCCACATGGTTTTCCAAACTGAGGACCCGTCCGCCAAATAAGGTTCGCCCCGCGGTTTTTTTTTTTGGGGGCCCCTTAACAAATGTTTGTTTTTGGTTCGGGGTTCCCCTACCCCTTTTGTTTCCTTGAGTGCCACTTCCATGGGGTGTTTTTTTTCCTTTTCGGGGGGTGGTAAAAAAGGGGGCAAGCTACACGGCGGGGGGGGGGGGGGGCGCCTCATATTTTGCCTTCATCTAACTGCCGGTACTCTTCTTTTCCTCTCTTTTCGCACACCAGGCATCGAGACGGTTGCTAACTGCTTGAGGATTCTCCTCTGCCAGTGCCAACCCGAGTCCCCTACTAGAGTTCCTGCTTCCCGTTGTCAGATAAGTGCAAAAACTGAACAAAACAAAAGAAAGACAATTTTACTTTGTGGATTCTTTGCATTTTCAGGTCCCTCAGCGCCGTGCATCTGTGGGCCAACATAGTCAGTCCCTCACAGGCCACCGGAACACCGACGGACCCAAATTGCAAACTACCACCCGAGATAGCTTCTCTCCACTGGACATTTTTATTATCTTTGACCGTACGATTCGCTTCCGTACTCTCCCTCTTTTGTGGTCGCGCACAGACTGCGACTCTACTTTCTGTCTAAGATTGGGCGCCATTATTGTTACGAAATAGCTAATTCCAGCATTTTGTCCACCTCGGCCAAACCACTTCCTGCATCGCTGGAGATTGAGGATAGTGCCGATCCTTAAAGGGTTCAGCGCCCTCCACCAACTGGATCCGATGCTCCTCTACCGTTGTTATTCCCAATACGGCTTCTTTGTACGTCAGGAACTATTTCTTGACCTTTTCCAGCTCTTCCGATTCCCTTTTTTCCAGATCCCAAGCATCCACATCCACGTCCTCTTGGTGATCTTCGGCATATTGGCTGATTTGTGACATCTGTACTTCGGATATTTGTGCCTCGCTGGATGTGCTTGGCTTTTCTCCCAAGACTGTTGGGGCTAATGCAAAGGACCTCCAGAAGTCGACCCCCAAATACATGGCCTGTTCAAGGTACGGGCAGACATAAAACACGATCTCTTTGCTCACTCCATTATACTCCACAGAGATCTTTATTCACCCGATAATGGACTTGTCTTCCCCGGAAGCTGTCTTGACAATTGAGACGTACTCCTCCATAGTAAGCTCACGGATGCCCCCGTGTCCAGGAGTCCAGCAATCCGCTTTCCTCGGTTCTGTACCTCGGCAAACATTCCGGGATCGCGTCCTGCTCCACGCCTGACTGCTTCGGCAACCTCCTTGCGTGTTTGTCGCCTTTTCCGGAACCGTGAACGAGCCTTTTGAAGTCTATGGCTGACACTGCGTCTCTCTTCCAGCTGCCGATCGTCAAAGATCTGGTTTCGGACTTCCATATACCTCCTCATCTTCTCTTCGGCCGGTAAGAACTTTAAATTATTTTTATTTAATATATTATTTTGATTATTATTTTGTAGAATTTTATTATGATGAGTATTGTTTATCTCCTCGCTGGCTTCGTTCCTGGGCGATGATCTCCCGCCTTCATCACGCCCACCCGAGCGTTTCCCGAACACTTGGGACATGTTGGCGTGAACATCTCTGGCTCCCCACAACGGTAACAAAATATTTTGCTCCTTCGCCACACAATCCCGGAATCCGTGGTCACATTGGCCACAGTTCCAGCAGCACAGCTTGGGCTTGTTCGTCAGGTGGGTTTCCTCAACCATAACCTCTTCCTCCTCATCCAACAGTGCCAACTCTGGCTCTATCTCCTCCACTCGCTTTCCGGATGACTGAAACTTCGGCGCCGAGCGATAACCTGACCTCTGCTCCCGCCTGCGAAAGTGATGCTCCTCTTTCCTTTTCCTCTTTGGCACTCTTCTCTCAGCGGCTCAGATTCCGGACCCGGATTGCGTAGACATACCGGGCGATCTCATCATCGAGTCTCTTCTTCACGACCTGCACCATTTCGGACTCAGCCATGGGTGTGGTGAGTCTCGCCGCCAGTCTACGCATCGCTCTAAAATACTCCTCCACAGACTCTCCAGATTTCTGTCGACGCTCGTGCAAAGCGCGTAGCCGCGTAAATTCGCCACCTACGGCTCGGAGCCGGGACACCAACTCGTCCTTCAAGTCCTCCCATATCTCCGGAGGGCGCTCTCGGATAAATTGCCAACACCATTCGGCTGCCTGGCCTTTGACAAGGTGATGGAAATTATCCAGGACTTCATCCCACGAGCGTCGGTTTGAAAGGTTAATATTTCCCAAATGGTAAGCTGAAAGTCATGTGAAAAAATAAAATAAATAAATAATAATAACTCCAAGTCTATAAAAAAAAAGTTGGTCTGGTTCGAAGCGGCGAAATCGTGTCGGGTAGTGTAATTAGGCACAGTGTGGCCTTTGGCCAATTCATCTTGCTAAATTAATTACTTCTGAACAAATCAAGATATCTTTATAAAATAAGCTGCATTTGAAAGGAAAATCTTGTAAATCTTGTCTAGAAGCTTTACAATAAATAGTCAAAGTTGAACTTTGATTCCTGTGAATATTTACCTGTTTGCGGTGCATTATTTGCTAAACTTTGTTTTCTTCCATCGATAAATAAAGTTCAATGGTTATTATCACTACATATCATAATTTAAAATTTTGTTTTTAATCAAATGTAATTTTTAAAAATCATTATCTAAATTTAAAACTTATTTCAAAATTGTTTTTTTTTTTAATAGTCTACCTTGTCAAAAATATCTCATAAACTTAAAATTTCTATAGAAGAACTTTTTTCCGATTTATTTTGAGATATCACATGTATAATGGATGAAATATATGAAATCATTAGAATATTGACCTCATGTTTGGACGTTGGATTTTGTATGGGAATTAGAGCTGCGACAGCCGGGGTATATTAGATTTGTGCTAAAAGTGGATGTGTGTAACGCAGAGAAGGAAACGTTTCCGACCCCATAAACTATATAGATTCTTGATCAGCATCAATAGCCGAGTCGATATAGCCATGTCTGTCTGTCCGTCCGTCCGTCTTGTTGAGCGCCTGGATCTCAGAGACTATAAGAGTTAGGGTAACCAAATTTGGTTTCCAGACTCATGTGATATCCACTGCTGAATATATATACTTTATGGGGTCGGAAACGTTTCCTTATCTGCGTTGCACACATCCACTTTTACCACAAATCTAATATACCCCTTAAATATATTTTGAGTACGGGTGTAATAACGCCTCGTTGTCTTCGGGGACATCCTTATCCCAAAAATGTCCCTAACATCTTTTTAAAAAACATAATGTAAATAGTTTTTCTTGAAAATACTCTTTTTATATATATTTAGTGCGTTGTTTCAGAACACACTATAAATATATCAGCAGCAGCAGCAATTCTATATTATGTAAATCCAACGAAGTCCGGCTTCAGGAACATCATGCAGAAATAATAAAACGAATACACGCAAGACTTTTATATTTTATGTTTTATATTTCTTCTTTTCTATTTGCCGGCTTGTCACTGCACACGTCTGTTCAGTTTCGTTGTTGGAGGAGAAGAGTGTCAGCGATAAACATCGCATGTATATTATCGTTTTTGCCAATGTATCGATACTTCGTATATCGATACTCAATACATTCAATATTCAATACACCTCCTCAAAAACATAATCTACATATTATAAATTGAAACTAATAGCCTTTTTACACTGGGCGCGTCTGCTATCGATATCGGAATAGACGCAATGAAGCAGAAAAGGCGTTTACATTGGCAGACGTGCGTCTTGAATTTTGTTTTGGGTGCTTGATGACAAGGAAAGTAAACAAATTTTGAGAAATCAACAGAATTATGCAAGACGACAAGAAAATGGACGAAAGAGAATTGATTCTTATATTTATTTATTATTTTCAGACATTTCTTTGTAGAGCTTGTGGGAGTTCTTCTTAAAATTATTAAAACCATCGAAGTTCGTCTCCAGCAGTGTCATAATGGCATCAGGGGATCACAAAAATGTCGTATGATAATAATACAATCAGTTTCAAGTATTTTATTTCATGATTTTATGTATATTTTCACCTTTTTGCACAACCATTCATTTTAGCGCCAAAATTTGATTTTTTAACTACAAGTTTTTGTTGTTCTTAGAGGTGATAGTTGCGCTGATAGGCAGAAAAGTGCAAAAATGTGCAGTTAAGCGCAAAAGCAATCGAATATATCGAATAGACGCACATGAATCAGAGACCGACGCAACTTTTTGCCACCACTAGGGCCCTATGCTTAACCTATGTAAAAAAAACTGCGTCTTTGCCAAGACGCAAAGAAGCATGACGCAGTCCCAATGTAAACAGCCTATTAAACTTCAGGGTACACAGTGACAAAACCAGCTATGGGAGTATTACAATACTGATCCAACATTTGTTGCATGGATTGGGAAAATCCATAAAAACCCAATCAAATCAGCTTTATAAAAAAATTAACAATTCTTCTTAAAATAATAATTCCGTTAAAAAAATTTTAAAATAAGTCTCTTCAATGAGATCAGTTTGCTTGGATATATAATATATATATATATACTTTTTTTTTATGCAGTATCACTAGTACTCGTCTCGTTCATTCGGATAATCCCATCTTTTTCCTTAATTCCATAAATCGTGGTGCTGGAAGCGTTTTCGTTAAAATATCGGCTATTTGTTTACCTGTAGGAATATATTCAAGTTGAGTTTATTTTCTATTTGTTCTCTAGAAAAATGATATTTAATATCTATATGCTTTGAACGTTTGTGACAGGAGGGATTATTGGCAATACTTATACATCCCTGATTACACTACTCGACAAAATCGAACTTTTTTTTTCCTCAAGGATCCAAACCGACTTTTTCTGATAGATATGGGGATTTAAAATTTTTTAAAGAATTATGGTTTTTTTTCTATGGCAGAACTTTTTTTTGAAGAATTTTTGAAGTCTGGTATTTTTTTTTTAAGGTTTTTTCAGAGGTAGCGCTTGTTTTTTTCACATAGCTCTAGTATCTTACGTCTGGTTGTAAAGAACTTTGCTATTTTGAAAAGGTAATTAAAACAGCTATAAGTTAAGCCCAAACACTTTGTGATTACAGCTTACCGTCTGGGAAATATAAAGCATTGAAATGCAAAAATGATGATTTTTGAGCGGTATTTTTTACGAAATTTTGACTTTAAAAACTCAGGAAAAGTCGAAAAAAAATTTTATCTTGTGTCCTCTATTTTTTTGTGTATAGGTGCGTTAATTTGGCGTAGTTTAAGGTATCGCTCCTTAAAATCGGAGGACTTTGGAGCTAAAATTCGTTAACTAAACCTAAAATATGGAAAAAATGAACAAAAAATACCTTTTGGAAGGTTGCGAGCTCAACTGCCCATCGGGAATTGGGATCGCGATCAGGTACCAAATGTACAACCCTTGTTCGTTTGCTTTGTTCCCAATTGGCAGTTGGGCCCGCCGCCTTCAAAAAGGTATTTTTTCCATATTTTAGGTTTGGTTAACGAATTTTAGCTCCAAAGTCTCTGCATAGATTTTTCGTTTTGTTTTGAAAAGCTGATGTTGCGACGGGCGCGCGGTTCTCTTTTAGGCTAGCCTTTGCCTCTGCTTTCGGCTTCGTCAACAGAAAGCCACTGAGAAAAATACAAAATAAAGGAGGGCCCCAGATTGATGGTTGCCCAGGGCCCGGTTGAGGGTTGATCCGGCCCTGAATAGGTCGCTACATCACATCAGCCCTCAAAACAAAACGAAAAACCAATTCAAGCGTCCAAAATTGAGCCCACACACAAGCACAGTATGTGTGAATACATGGCACACACACGTTTACGTAAACTGAAATCTCGAACAAAGTCGGTTTAGGCAGCTAAAAATTATTCTATGTTTACAATCATATATTTTGGAGTGTACACGTACACAACACATGCATGCTTGCTGCCAGTCGGCTCGTGTGACGTCATGAGCCGAACGCGGCCATTCCCAGACCCGAACGCGGCCATTCCCAAAGCCGAAGATCTGGGAACGTTCGCTGCAAGCTCAGCTGCGCCCCTTTCGTTGTATGAACTGGCACATCTATATACTGTATGGTTAGTGCCCGCAGCCAGCCACAATCGATACTATCGCGACTATCGTCGATGGTTTTACAGCTCTATTGGTTGGATCACTAACCATACAGTATATACTGTATATACAATACTGTATGGTTAGTGGTTGGATTTAGTAGAAGCAGTCACAAATTACTACATACTTAATTGTTTTAACACAGATATCCATTTTTATATCTCCTCTCAGTCAATGCTGTCCTCATCATCATCATCCGTGTCCAGCAACAGAACTAGCATGTGTGGTGGTCTTGCTTCCCCTCCCATGAAGTGCCTTCTTTATCATAATTCCTAAATATTTTGCGTGCTAGTGACAAGCTAATCCGGGATAGAGAATCCCACTTACTTCATCTCCCCAAAACAACAATCAAAACCCTAATAAGGGATTGACCGATCTGCTCCAGTTGGTTTTTACTGCGACCTGACCTCAGGTTTTTTTGAGGCCCGTTGTGCCCTCCCTACCATCGGCCCTTCTGCCCCCTGGCAACCATCCGAAGGGCCCCTATGTTGGGTTTCTCTCAGTGCATGGGGTCAGCCGATGTCAAACTTCTTGTCATTTAAAACATTATAAAATTTATTTACTCACTAAAAAAAAAAAAACTCCCATGTACACATAACCACGTAAAGATAAATATGCCACCAGGGTGGATAAATTAACATAAATAAATAAAATCGTATAAAGAAAATGATATGACAAAAAATAAAAGTGATTAAATATAGAACATATAAAGCGAAAATGTAGTAATGTTATATGAATTCAAGAAAACGAAAAACCTGAACAAGCAAAAAAATCATCTTTTCTTCCCTAGAGCTTCTTTAGCGAGAGCACATCTGAGAGCAAGCACTCAAACTTGAGTGAAAACGGGGCCAAGACGCTATGCCGTACTCGGCTTCTTCGTCTCCCAATTCTCCTTCCCCACCGATCGGTTCTACCTTTCCCGACTCAACATTCGGTAGTTTACTTTATCTACTTCTATTCTCCCTTTCCTTTACTTTGCATTTATGCGTACCAACAAGATCCACTCATACCTTATTTTCTCCAGACTGGTGCTCCATCAATGAAAGCGCTTTCTCGACGAACATTTGAAAAGCTGTGGATAAAAAAGAATTTAAGGGCATAGGGACGGGAAAAACATCACCACTGATCGGCAAGAAACAAGATGGGCAATAGAACGGAACACTATAGGACTCAATCACTGGCTTTCACTCAATCTGCTCTTTGCTACCTCTCACTCTTCACTTGCACATTTCTTTCTCTGTACGTTACTTATACTCTACCCACTATCTCCTTCTTCTCTATCCAACCGGCGAGGTGAAAATTCACCAAGTAGGGCTTTCACTAATTCCTGATATCAATGCGGTTGAAGAATACTATGTTTCCAGCTTCTGCTGCCGATCAGTCAGCGATACCAAGGGACAGGAAATTCACAAATTCCAACGGCGAAGTTTGGTACCCGCAGCCGTGTGAATCGACAACGGGGTCGGTCGCTAGTCGCTCGGGCACTAAATTAGCCCGCTCTCCGGCTGATTTGATGTGCGCTTGTGCTGGTCGCTCCAGCGCTCGGATGTCGTTCGACCTCTCCGAAAGTATTGCGCCCGCCACCTGAAGATCTTTCTGCCAACAACAACGAATTAAAAGCTATTTTAATCGCTCTTCGTGTTGCTGCTGCTGCTACTCACTAGCTTTTTCCGACCGTGAGGCGTCCAGAATTTATCTAATTCCCCGTCTCTTCCAGGAAATTTCAGCTCCTTCTCAAGCGCCAAGACCCAGACGGACTCAGCGTGGCCGAA